ACTTGGGCCAATAATAACGTATCGATATTGGTTTGTTAATTGTAACAAATGTACTATTCTAATGTAAGATGTTAATAGGAGAAACTGGGTGTGGGGTGTATGGGAATTCTGTACTATCTTTATGATTTTTCTGTAAATCTAAAATTGTTTTAATAAAGTTTATTAAAAATGCTCAGCACTGAACTTTGAGTCAACTGTTGGATGGATAAATTGTTTTATTTCACTAGACTTCACGTTTGGGGACAGTTCTGAATTTATGGAAAAGCTGAGCAAACAATACAATTTCCATATTGTTCCCTCCTTTCCCCAGTTTTCCCTGTTATCAACATCTTGCATTAGTGTGGTATATCTGTTACAATTAATAAACCAATATCGATACATTATTAACTAAAGTTCAGGGCTTAAATTAATGTTCATTCTGTGTTGTACAGCTCTGTGAACTTTGACAAATGCCTTATATCATGTATGCACTGTTACAGAAGCATACAGCATAATTTCACTGCCCTAAAAACCTCCTGTGCTCCCTCTATTCCTCCCTCCCTGCCCTCCTGAGCCCCTGGTGATCACTGGCTTTTTAACCGTCTCTCTAGTTTTACCATTTTCAGAATATCACATAGTGGAATCATATAACATGTGGCCTTTGCAGATTGGCTTCTTTCACGTTAAGGTTCCTCCATGTCCTTTTGTGGCTTGAGAACTCATTTCTTTGATCGCTGAATAATATTCCATTGTATGAATATATAGTTGGCTCTTCAACATCCTGCATCAGTTCAAACCCGTGTTATTCAAGGGTCAACTCTGAGGCTGGGAATCCACATGGGCAGAGGGCCGAGTGCAGTAACACTCAGATTTTCGACCACATGGGAGGTCAGTGCCCTTAACCCCTGTGCTGTTTAAGGGTCAACTGTACCACATTTTATTTATCCATCCACCTATTGAAGAATATCTTGGTTGTTCCCAGTTCAGGGTGATTATATTAAAGCTTCTATAAATATCTGTGTGCAGTTTTTTTGTGAGGACCTAAGTTATCAAGTCATGATGTAAGTTATCAATCCATGTTTTTTAGAAGTATATTGTTTACTCCCCAAATATTTTGGGGTTTTCCAGGCATCTTTCTATTATTACTAGTTTAATTTCATTGTCATCTGAGAGCATACTTTGCATAATTTCTATGATTTTAAGTTTGTTCAGATGCGTTTTATAGCCCAGAATGTGGTCTCTCGGTAAATGTTCCATGTGAGCTTGAGAAGTATGTGTATTCTGTTATTGGATGAACCACATGAATTGACATGATAATGCTTTGCAGTTTACCTGTATTCTTACTTATTTTCTGCCTGCTGGTTCTGACAGTTACTGATAGAAGGGTGTTGAAGTCTCTAACTATAATTGTGGAGATAAAACTGCATTGAATCTATAGATTGCTTTGGGTAGTACAGACATTTTAATGATATTAATTCTTTCTATCCATGGAAATGCTTCCACTTATTTGTATCTTCTTCAATTTCTTTCTTCAGTGTCTTATAACTTTCTGAATCAGGTCTTTTACATCCTTGGTTAAATTTATTCCAAGGTATATATTTTTTAAAGCAATTGTGAATGCGATGGCTTTCTTAGTTTCTCTTTCTGATAGTTCATTATTGGTGTACATAAATGCCACCAATTTGTAAATAATTTTGTATCCTGCTACTTTGTTGAATTCATTTATTAGATATAGTAGCTTTTTGGTGCAGTCTTTAGGGTTTTCTATGTACAATATCATGTCATCTGCAAACAATGACAGTTTTACTTCTTCCTTTCCAGTTTGGACGCCTTTTATTTCTTCTTCGAGTCTGATTGCTGTGGCTAGGACTTCCAGTACAATGATGAATAAGAGTGGTGGAAGAGGACATCCTGTGTTGTCCCAGTCTTAAGGGAAATGCTTGCAGTTTTTGCCCATTGAGTCTGATGTCGGCTGTGGGTTTGTCATATATGGTCTTTATTACGTTGAGATATGTTCCCTCTATTCCCTCTTTGTTGGGAGTTTTTTAAATCATAAATGGGTGCTGGATTTTATTAAATGTGTTTTCTGAATCAATTGGTATGATTATGTGGTTTTTGTCCTTTGTTTTGTTTATGTGGTGTATTACATTTATTAATTTGTGGATATTATACCAATGTTGCATTCTTGGAATAAATCCCACTTGATCATGTGTATGATCTTTTTAATGTATTGTTGGATCCAGTTTGCTAATATTTTGTTGAGGATTTTAGTATCTATGCTCATCAGGGATTTTGGCCTATAATTTTCTTTCTTTATAGTGTCTTTATCTTGTTTTGGAATTAGGATAATGTTGATCTCATTCAAGGAGTTTGGGACCCTCCTCTTGAATTTTCTGAAATAGTTTGAGAAGGATAGGTGTTAGTTCTTTGACTGTTTGATAAAATTCACCTGTGAAACCATCTGGTCCAGACTTTTTGTTGGGAATTTTTTTTATTACTGCTTCAATTTAATTAGTTGTAATTGGTCTATTCAGATTTCCTGATTCTTCCTGATTCAGTTTTGGAAGATTGTATATTTCTAGGTATTTATCCATTTTGTCAAAATTGTCCATTTTGTTGGCATATAGTGGGAGGCAGAAGAGCGCATTTGGTGACTTATGGCGACACAAGGAAACTTGACTTGGGGTGGTGAACACAATACAATATGCAAATGATGCATTATAGAATTGAACAATGGAAAACTATACCATTTTATTAACCAACATTGTCCCAATAAGATCAATAAAAAGAAAAAATAGTGGGGAAATATATATATATATATATATATATATATATATATCCCCAATCCTCACCTGAGGAAATGTTTTTATTGATTTGAGAGAGAGAGAGGAAGGGGGGTGGGGGGGGGGAGAGATAGAGAGAGAGAGAGAGAGAGAGACATCGGCCGGAGATCGAACCTACAACCTGGGGATGTTCCCTCCCTGGGAACTGAACCTGCCACCTTTTGGTGTACAGGACAACACTCCAACCAACTAATCTACACTGGTCAGGGATGACACATAAGATTTTAGAGTGTATTATTTAATTTCTAAATATTTAAGGTTTCTTGGACTTTTTTTTATTGAAGATCTTAATTCTATGTGTCAGAGAATATACTTCGTATGTTTTCAATCTTTTAAAATCTATTGAGACTTGTTTTGTAGCCCAGCAATAGTTTATTCAGTTTAAATCATTTGTAAATTTAATTTTTTATTTGTATTAAACATTTTTATTGTGATATAATTCATAACATGAAATTCACTCTTTTAAAGTATACAATACACAGATTGTTAGTGTATTTACAAGACTGTGTAACTATCACCATAATCTAACTGCAAAACATTTTCAGCATCTCCCAGGAATATCCATATCCACTGGTGGTCCCTATTCCCCTTCCCCTCAGCCCCAGGCAACTACCAACCTACTTTGCCTCTCTGGATTTGCTTATCTGGGACATTTCATATAATTAGAACATAAAATATATGGCCTTTTGTGTCTGGCTTCTTTCACTTAGCATAATGTTTTCAAGGTTCATCCACATGGCAACATGTAGCAGTATTTCATTCCTTTTTAGACTGAATAATATTCCATTATGTGGACATACCATATTTTATTTATCCCCTCATCAGCTGATGCACATTTCTGTTGTTTCCACTGTTTGGCTATGAATACTGCTGTTATATACATTTGTGTATATGTTTTTGTGTGGTGTACCTTTTTAATTAGTATATAATTTCTAGTGGATGAGCTAACTAACTACCTGTCCACTCAGGAAACTGAAGGCTGGAGAGTGTGTTTTTGTCTGTGTGTTTATGTGTCTGTCTTTCTTTGTGTGGGAACAACCAAAATTCCTGGATCTTTACAAAGAGTCTTTGGGTTTAAGAAGAAGCCTAAAGGGCTGAGTTAACTCTTAATATTTTAACTCTACCCTACATGTTTCAGCTCTTTCTGGCTTCATGCCTCACCTTCTGTTCTGAACCACAGTGTAAGCGAACCCTGCAGGGTGGGAAATGGACTATGATATTTATACCCAAAAATCCAGTCTACACACGCACAAACAATGTATATTTCTATCATGCTTTCTGGATAAAAGGAAAAGGGATATGTATCATTTTGTGATTCTAAAAAAGCAATGGGAAAAACTGCTTTCAAGTTAGTGGGGGGAAAATCACCCATTGATCAATGGATGTGATGATGCCCAAATATTACTTTGGTTAGAAAAATAATCCTGCGTAAACGCTCACTTTTCTCTCCTTTGGTCCTAAAGCATTCATCACGACACTGCAGGGCATCTGTAGACAAAAGCTTGTGGTGAGCCAGACAGCTGTTCACCAGTGTCCTCTGGTTTCATTCCTAGTAATCCATTCAGTTTCGGCCGTCCTCCGAGACTCTGATTTCCCATCGTCTATCACTTGGCCCTGAAATGGTAGGACTCTTCCTCCCCACTCCTCATTCTAAAAATGAATCTGAATAGTCTTTGCTTCCTAATAAGGCAGAGCTATCTTTGCAACTCGGTTATCTCATTCTGGATGAAGGTAGTGAGGTGAGTTGGAAGTAAATATAGAAAACCAAAGGGTAAAAAATGTTCTCCAAGAATAAGGTAAATCTGCTCTGGCTGATTTGGCTCAGCAGTTAGAGTGTCAGCCTGCGGTCCAGAGAGTCCCGGGTTCGGTTCCCGCTAAGGGCACGTGCCTCGGTTGCAGTTTGTCCCCGGCTTAGGTTGGGGTCGTGTGGATGACAGCCAGTCGATGTGTCTCTTTCACATCGATGTTTCTCTCCCCCACCCCTTTCCTCCCACTCTATCTGAAGATAAATGCCCCCCCCCCAAGTCCTCGGGTGAGGATAAAAAAACAGAATAAGGGGAGTCTGACACAGGGTACGAGACAGAGATATAGTACTTGACTAAAAGTTGGCCAGATCTGGTCAATTAAAATGCATGGGCCACATTCAGGTATACATTTACAAGACAAGAGATTCTGTACCTGCTTGTTGAAATATCCTCGAAAGGGTAGAGGATCTCTCCATTGTTGCAGATTTCACAGATGAAACCCTTCTGGCTGCAGAGACTGCAGCTGTACACGTGTGAGGTGGCAAATTTAATGACCTTGCCCAGGAATGGAGCCAGCTTGCCCTCTATTACCTGCAGCAAGAGAAATGGGACAGGGAAGCAAGTCATTGAGAACAGAAATCTTGCAGATGAGGAGTACTGGAATTCCTTTCCTTTACACAACAGGAAAACCTCTAATTATAATTTCTCAGCAACTCTCAGAAAGAAAAGATAGTATTTTCGCTCCAACAGAACCCTCTGGTTTAAACCACTGGAGGTTGGAAAATGAAGATGTTGAAACTTCTTTTGTATTCTTCTTCCTTTGTAGTGTGGTGTAGGGGACTGAAGACCAACAAATGGGGAGCCCGACTTCCATAGACTGCCTTCACAGTTATGGTGTGGTGTAAGAGGAATGTCTTTTGGGAGTTCCCAAAATAGACTGAAAACATACAGGGTAAGTACGCATGTAGAACTTCATACTTTAGGCTGTCAATTCAATAATCGCCTTTCTCTGATGAGTTAACAGGATAGTTTTTTTCACTATCTCCCCCAAGAACACAAAACAAATGCAGAAAAATAGGTTTCTTTTGCTGCTGACAAATATATTAATACAAAGAGGCTGCAAATTTGGCAGTCTGAGGGTCACATTCAGCCTGAGGAGTTAAAAAAAGCTCTGAGTTTTAAAAAATGAGCCATTTTAATAATTGGGAGATTTCACATAAAAATACCAATTTGGGGGCTTCTTTGGAAAAATCATGAGATCTAGCAGAACTAGGCCTGAACTCTAGCATGACGGTGGCCCTGCCTGTGGCAGGGCAGCTTGCTCCCACTGGGCACGTGTCTCCTGTTGATAGGTATCCCCACTGGGCCCTAGTGTCCTGCATCTCCTGCCTCCCACAGTTACCGCACCTGTTGGCCTACAGATATCCAGGCGTTTGGAACCAATGGTCAGTCCGACCCCTCCTCACTTAACTAAAATGCATGGGCTTCAAAGAGGTCAGCAGTTCATATACTAACAAGATAAAATCTGCCTTTCTTTCTATTAGTGTAAATGTATATACATGCTGATTTTGATAGAAGAGAAAAAGAAAGATGAAATTTAATTTGGAAATAATTGGAAATGGCTGTATACTTTCAAATGAATACATCGTTTAAATTACACTCTTACATAAATATATCATTTGAGGGCAATGTAAATCCCAAGTAAAGACAAATTACAATGCCAAGGTGAATAAACTAGTAGTAACTAGCATTACCAAAATAAGACTGCGAGGAATGTAAAAATGCATTTTGCAGAAAATGAAGCTATGCATAATACTGGAGATAAAAACTAAAGTGGTTTTAAAGATTACAGCATAATCTCATGATGTTTTTAAAATGAATATAACAGTAGTTAACTCTAGAGAAGGGACTGGGAAAAGCAAGTCTTCTGCTTTGCATATAGTTGTCTTTTTGCATTTTTTGAAACAATGTATACTATTTTGCATCAAGCTGCGAAAGTGAACAGAAAAATCAAGATTGTTGCTGTGTAAGAGTGGAATTTTTTTTTCTTAATGAAGAAAGTAGAAATTATGCTGTTTTTTGAGTTAAGCAAGTCCATTTTCCACCATTCTTTAACTTATTTTCCTCTCTACTACCTTTAGAAAGCCATAGATAGAGCTGTTTCTATTTTTATTTGCTCAAGGACCATTAACTTCGATAAACCCCAGTAAAGCTTACTCCTAATACTAACACATGATACACTTTCTAAGAAATAACCACTACCAAATCATATACCCAACCACCAGTAAACACTTTTCAGTGTGTCATAGGGTTATTTCTAAACTGTGGTAACAATACTTCAGTTCTATTTGGTTTTACTCCCATTACTCTTTCCTAAACAACCAAGGCTAATGACGCATTTAAAGACAGGCACAAACTATAGTCCATTTAGGGGAAAACAGGATAGACCAGTTCTGGAAACCAGGTGGGCAAAGGCTGTTTGAAGGAACTGAGGATGAGAAGGAAAGACCTTGAGGAAGACCTCACAGTTACCGTCTAGGATCTAAAGGAGCAGATCGGACATCTTGTGCATAACGCTTTTCCCCCTTCTAGCTGATTTCTTTGAGACAAAGGGTATGAACATTTTGAAGGCTTTTGATATATTTCACCAAACTTATTTAATAAGCCTTTAAAAATTAATTTGGGGACTGATATCTTTATAATATTTAGTTTCCCTATCAAAGAACCTGATCTATATCTTCATTTTATTAAATCTTCATTTATTATAGCTTAATAAAAATTTGTTTTCTTCCCTTGTATAAGCCACTCACATTTATTATATTTAGGTTATTTCAAAGTTGAATTTTTGTGTAATTTTTTTCTTATTAGCTATTGCTGGTATATTAGAATATAATGACATTTGTGTACATCTTATAAATGACCGTATATTACTGAATTTTCAGAAATGCAAATCATCTTAGGTGATTCTTTTGGATTTTTCTGAAAGTTATAACCTGGTCCCTTCCTTTCTAATATTATACCTCTCATTTATGTTTCATGTCTTATTGCATCACCCAGCGCTCCTAAAACAATATTAAGTAATAATGGTGTTTGTGGACATTCTTGTTATTTCAAAGAGAATCAAATGGAAACTATGGAGTCCAGTGAGTGGCTCATTTTCTCCATTAGAAACATATATATTGTCATTCACCACATTTATTTATTTTTATTGTTGACAGTATTACAAATGTCCCCTATCCCCTTTTGACATTCCATTTTAAATTACAGCTTTACTGAGATATAATTCACATACCATGTAATTCACCTACAGTTAAATGAAAGCCTACAGTTAAATGGCTTTTAGTCATTCACAGAGTTGTGTACCATCACCACCATCAAGTTTTGAACATTTCTTCAACTCTTCCAAAAAACCTTGTACCTGTTAGCAATTACTCCCTTTCCCCCTACACTGCTCCCCAAGCCCTAAGCAACCAAAAATATAATGTCTGTCTCTATAGATTTACCTCCTTTGGACATTTCATATAAATGAAATCATACAATATGTGGTCTTTTGTGCTGGCTTCTTCCACTCAGCTTAACACTTTCAAAGTTTATGCTGATTCTCTCTTAAATATCTCTAGTGTGAGTCTCCTTGTTCCATCCTGCCCCACACTCATCACTCCTCTCTTCTAGTTCAACTTCCAGATGCCAGTCTTTTTCCTTTGCTCCAACCATCACATATTTAATCGATTTTAGATACCACTTTCATCATGTATCATCTCTTCCTTCAAACCTTGGTGAATTCTTATTTTATCACTAATAAAAATGCTTTACTCATCCATCTCATAGAATAGACTGAATTACTGTGTCCCATGTACTTGATACAAGAGCGAACTGGGCAAAACCGGAGCTTACGTTTTGCCTGGTACGCAGGTGTCTCCACAAGCTGACCCCACACTATCTATCCAAACTCGTTTCCACTTCTTACTATGTATGTGTCTTCTGTTACGAGCAAACTTTTCCTCCTGTAGAAATTGCTCCCTCTTGCTCTTGTGCCTTCACCCGTGTTATTTCCTCTATCTGAAGTTTCGCTTCTTTCTTAAGCACTTCTTTAAATTTCACCCAGGCTTCATGGCTCAGATCTATTCTGGCTTGATGTGGAAAGCCATCTTTGGTGACTTCAGCTGTTTAGATCTCTTGTGCTTCACATCAATTACTTTTACATAATGTATATCATGTAATTTAATATGAAACTTGACGCTATTGTTTAATGTGACTGTTTACTGAATATATTGAAATGGTGATACTATTAAATGGTGATTTTACTTTAAAAATGGCTATTTTAGCCCTGGCCAGTTTTTCTCAGTGGTTAGAGCGTCGGCCCGTGGACCAATGAGTCACGGGATCAATTCTGATCAAGGGCAAGTACCACGGTTGCGGTTTGTCCCCAGCCCTGGTCGGGGTTGTGTGGGAGGCAACCAGTCGATGTTTCTCTCTCTCTCCCTCTCTCTCCCTCCCTCCCCCTTCCTCCCACTCTATCTGAAGATAAACAGAAGAATATCCTTGGGTAAGGATTGAAAAAAAAAAGGCGATTTTATATGGAACAACCTAAGAGAATGTAAATTGCTGGGAGGCAAAAACGGAGTCTCACTTGTCTTAAATATTCCCTCTCTGCCAGGCACCTAAGTTCTTGTTGACTGACCAAGGATGCTCTCTCATCTTTTCCCTTGGCTGTGGCGGTCATATCTTAGGGCTGTCTTTGTGTCACCAACATTTTCAATCATTGTGCTGTGTGATTTAGGAAGGAGCATAAAGAGTGCATGGCCCTGGTGGCAGCTCAGCTATTCAGGGACTCTTTTGGCTTCTTTTCACTTGATTAATTGCTCTTCCTATTTGTCAGCTTAGTTTCATGGCCATGTTCCAAAGGGCTAAAGCTGCTGAACGTTTTCCCTCCAGAAAATGACGTAATAGTCTATAAGTATATTTTAGAATTGACAAACATTTCTTTAATATTTCAGAAAGGAAAACTTTATACTTATAATTTTCCAGGGATAAAGATATATTTAGGAGGTTTAAATCTTATCTTTGACTACAACTACTAACAGCATTGGGAACAGGATGCAACTATTTTGGCTTCTGGTAGAGAGGTTCCATCACTACAAAGAAGTAGGTTCCAAGTGTGACATCTCCTAGGGTTCTTTTATTATTTTTTTCTTTATTGATTTTTAGAGAGAGAGGAAGGGAAAGGGAGAGGGAGATAGAAACATCGATGAGAGAGAACACCGACTGGCCGCCTCCTGCATGCCCCCCATTGGGGATCGGGCCCACAGCCTGGGCATGTGCCTTGACCAGGTATTGAACTGGTGACCTTGGTGCACGGGTTGATGCTCAACCACTGAGCCACACTGGCTGGGCTCCTAGGGTTCTTTTAAAAAATCAGATATGTTAATTAAAAAAAAAAAAGAAATCAGATACATCTTTACTTTGGATAATTGCTTAAAAAGAAATCGAGTGTCCGGCCTCCCACCATATCCTCTTGCCCCTAAGAGTCTTAAAATTTCCACTCCGACTTCCCAGCTATCTTGTGGGGGCTTAAGGTCAGGACCATATCA